GATGAGGGAATTCTTCTCTGCCGGATGGTGGTGGGAGTCAGGTTTCAGATAAGAATTTGTGTGGGTGGCTTTCCTGTAGACAGAGTGTCCCAAAGAACCATCAGGTTTTTTCTCAAACAAAACATCCAGGAATGGTAGCTTACCATCCTTCTCCACTTCCATTGTGAATTTGATGAATGGGTGTATGGAGTTAATGTGGTCGAGAAATTGGTTCAATGTTGGCAGGCCATGTGGCCAAATGACGAAAGTATCATCCACATATCTTTTCCACAGGGAAGGACGTAGGGTGGATGTCTGGATGGCGTCTGTTTCAAATTTCTCCATGAAAACATTGGCTATCACTGGTGACAAAGGGGAACCCATGGGGGTACCCTCATTTTGTTTATAGAAAGTACCATTCCAGGTGAAGTATGTGTTGGTAAGGCAGTGCCTAACCAGTGCAGGGACATCAGGGTTCAGTCCATGTTGGACTGTCTTCGATTATTGCTATGGTGTCAGGCACTGGAACCAAGAATAGAGAAACCACATCAAATCTGACGAGGAAATCTTCAGGGGACAGTGAAATGTCCTTGATTAGAGAAACCAAGTGAGCTGAATTAAGTACTGCTGAAGTAGTCTTGCCAGTGAAAGGAAGCAATGTATCAGACAGAAAACGGGCTAGTTTGTAGGTAGGTTTATTGTGGATACAATGGGCCGCAGTGGGGTTCCATCTTCATGGATCTTGGTCAAACCATAGAATCTTGGTGGTCTAGCAGTCTAAGGTTTTAGGGAGAGCCGTTTGACTGGTTCGATTAGAGAAGTCGAACTGGTAATGATATTGTTGGTTTTTGTAGTTAGGTTGTTAGTAGGATACTTATTGATTCGCAGTTACCCCTAAACATATCCCAGTGGATGATATAATCTCCCAGGTCGATGTAAACCTCAAAGGCTTGGGACACATCCAAATAGACAAAACTGACACCTTTTTGCAAGGAGTCAGTTTTGTTGCCAGATAGAAGGGTAAAGAACCAATTATCATATTTTTACTGGCAAATGAGGTCCCCATAGTGTAGATGCTTGCCCCGAGCTCTCATACTCTGATGGTGCATTGTCCTTGAGTTGTGCGCCTTTTGGCGTCATCTGGTCCAACCCATATGAGACTAGGCTCGAAGGAAAGCTGTCTCGGGTGTGGACCAATCAACTTCAAGGACAGTGCACATTATCAGAGTTATGTTCTTTTGTTTGTATTATGACTGCAGGTATTGCGGTCTATGCAAACATGACTCCTTGCAAAAAGGTGTCAGTTTTGTTGCCAGATAGAAGGGTAAAGAACCAATTATCATATTTTTACTGGCAAATGAGGTCCCCATAGTGTAGATGCTTGCCCCGAGCTCTCATACTCTGATGGTGCATTGTCCTTGAGTTGTGCGCCTTTTGGCGTCATCTGGTCCAACCCATATGAGACTAGGCTCGAAGGAAAGCTGTCTCGGGTGTGGACCAATCAACTTCAAGGACAGTGCACATTATCAGAGTTATGTTCTTTTGTTTGTATTATGACTGCAGGTATTGCGGTCTATGCAAACATGACTCCTTGCAAAAAGGTGTCAGTTTTGTTGCCAGATAGAAGGGTAAAGAACCAATTATCATATTTTTACTGGCAAATGAGGTCCCCATAGTGTAGATGCTTGCCCCGAGCTCTCATACTCTGATGGTGCATTGTCCTTGAGTTGTGCGCCTTTTGGCGTCATCTGGTCCAACCCATATGAGACTAGGCTCGAAGGAAAGCTGTCTCGGGTGTGGACCAATCAACTTCAAGGACAGTGCACATTATCAGAGTTATGTTCTTTTGTTTGTATTATGACTGCAGGTATTGCGGTCTATGCAAACATGACTCCTTGCAAAAAGGTGTCAGTTTTGTTGCCAGATAGAAGGGTAAAGAACCAATTATCATATTTTTACTGGCAAATGAGGTCCCCATAGTGTAGATGCTTGCCCCGAGCTCTCATACTCTGATGGTGCATTGTCCTTGAGTTGTGCGCCTTTTGGCGTCATCTGGTCCAACCCATATGAGACTAGGCTCAAAGGAAAGCTGTCTCGGGTGTGGACCAATCAACTTCAAGGACAGTGCACATTATCAGAGTTATGTTCTTTTGTTTGTATTATGACTGCAGGTATTGCGGTCTATGCAAACATGACTCCTTGCAAAAAGGTGTCAGTTTTGTTGCCAGATAGAAGGGTAAAGAACCAATTATCATATTTTTACTGGCAAATGAGGTCCCCATAGTGTAGATGCTTGCCCCGAGCTCTCATACTCTGATGGTGCATTGTCCTTGAGTTGTGCGCCTTTTGGCGTCATCTGGTCCAACCCATATGAGACTAGGCTCGAAGGAAAGCTGTCTCGGGTGTGGACCAATCAACTTCAAGGACAGTGCACATTATCAGAGCTATGTTCTTTTGTTTGTATTATGACTGCAGGTATTGCGGTCTATGCAAACATGACTCCTTGCAAAAAGGTGTCAGTTTTGTTGCCAGATAGAAGGGTAAAGAACCAATTATCATATTTTTACTGGCAAATGAGGTCCCCATAGTGTAGAACCTCCTGAGACTCCGATCAAAACCACCACATTACCATACATAGCAGGCGTTACCAAAAAGATTTCCAAAATCTTAAACAAACACAATATCCAGGTCCGATTCAATTCAGTACACAATATACGTGATCAAATCCCATCCGTAAAGGATGTCATTCCTGACATGCAATACCCTGGAGTCTACAAACTAAGTTGCATTTGTGGTGATTGTTTCATTGGGGAAACGAAACGACATGTATCGGACCGCATTCGCGAGAACAAGGCTGATTTGAAACATGGCAGAACTGGCTTTTCCGCAGTTGATGATCACTGCTACAACGCTGTGGGCTCTCATGATATTGTTTTTTTCTGCGACCAAGGTACTCTGCAAACCGTCAGGCTACTATCAAAGGTTTGTTCATGAAGCCATCCAGATATACAAACACAGACATAACTTCAACGGAGAGGATGGATTCAAATTGAGCAATCATTGGAAGGATGTTATTAACCAGGTAAAATCGTAATTGCTTTTATAGCTTGCTTCCATACCCGCATTCCCAGTTTCTGCAGCACGCTACTACCCTCCCCCAGGCCCGCTCATTACCCAGCTCCGGCATTGTGTCTTACCAGCCGTGTCTCAACAGGAGCTTCACTCCCCCTCCCATACTCCACACCCCCCGCCCCCTGCATCTCTCCTCCCTAGCTCCTCCCGCCTCTTACCTTATATAATCGCTTGTCACAAATAGCTCTCTTTACCCACTACAGTAATTTTTGTTTCTTGCTGTGGTTGTCCCACCTGATGACAGAAGCTTGTGTTGCTTCCGAAACGTCGTGATTTAATTTAGTTATTTCTATTTTTTATTTTTATTCAAAAATTTATTTTAATTTTATCATCTACGTGACTTTACTGAAAGAACCAAAGAGTATGGATCCTTGCAGTCACGAAAACTACAAATCTAGAATGAATAATATACTTTAATATTAGATTTTAAGTGGAATTATAGGAATCCAAGAATGTAATTTTAAATGATATCTGCTGTTCAGTAAAATCTTAATCACGTGAATACTATAGAGGCATACGTCGGTTTACGCCTAAGGATGCATTTCTGAAAACCAGAACCTACATCCTAAAGTATTAAAATCGAATACTTTTTTGGTGGATCGCAACGTGGTACAGTACATAAAACAGAGGATGCTCATGAACCCTTTGTGCATCTATACAACAGTACCTTGTCTATTGTACTACAAGTGTTCAAGCGATCAACAAATTTAGGACAATTTCTTCGATTTAATGAAATCGAATTTCGGCATGAACGAAATTGAACTTCGGGCACGCACCATGAGGTCATCATCCCAACAAACAAGAACAAGAAGCACAACCCGGTTGGCTGCCTCATCCATCCGCGACAGGGTCGCAGTGGCAGCAGTAACGTATCCCCATCGCCTATCCAGGCATTCTCAACATGGTGCAGATCTTTTGGTGAGTTCCCTAAAAGGTATTTTTTAAAATTATGAATGAAGCGTTTTTATGTTCATGTTAATATTCTTTTTCATTATTACGGTTGTTTTATGGAAAGTGATGAAGGTGTATTTTTTTTGGTAAGGAGTTGATTTGCAATGACTGTCCAAAGCGCATTCCAATGTTTTAGTATTACATTAATGGGAAAAACCATTTCGATTTTACTAAAATTCAGTTTTTCCCGTGTTTTTTGAAGAACACATACTGTTCGTAAATCGGGGGATACCTGTGTATGTAATATTCGTTTTCTTGTATTAGTTCTGAAAAATAGTTTACAGTCGTATAAAAAATAATAGTCGCCATAAATATGGTATGTGGGGGAAAAAATATTAATCTTTACCAGGTAAGGCACACTGAGCTACATAGCTCTTTTTCAGAAGCGAGCTGGCCATCACAAATGATAGTTCAATGAAGTGGCTTATCACATGGACATTATAGCAGCCAAATATTATAAATTCATGATGTTGATTCTAAATGTAAAGGGGAAACCCGGAGGATCCAGAGAAATATCCACTCGACCACCAGGAGAGAGAGACACACAAACTCCAAATATACAGGCTTCAGGGTCAGGATCGAACCCATAACCTCCTGTATGCCAGGCTAGGTAGTTAACATATTGCCACCACAACATATCCCTATGCCATCATTAACATCTCACCACCGTGGTGCCTAAATAAACGTGTACGGGTCTCTTTGCGAGTCTATAGGTTTCTATGCAAGTCCTCGGTGAATGACGTGAGACCATCGACATACTACACCTGTGAACTTGGTTTAATCAGAGGCAGCTAAACCCCGATTGGAACTCAGCATCTCACCAGTGCCAGCTCAGTATCCCTGGCCTCTGAGCCACTCGACCTCCTGATATTGAGTCAAGAGCCATTAACATGCCTCCAGACCACTTCAGAAGAATGGATTGCATGCATATCACTCACTCTTTATTTTTCCAGTCCCTCATTATGTCGCTTGTTTTCTTGTACGCATCTTCGTCTGTGAAAAACACAATGAAGTAAAAATTCAGATTTATAACGCATGCCATATTTTATGAGATCTCAGAACCTTAAAAGTGGTAAATTGAATATACATTTGATCATCAATTATCCGGCACGCGATGATCCGGCTTCCAACTTTATTCGGCAGTCCCGGGCCGATCCAGCGAAACTAGCAAAACCGTTCCAAAGGTTGTAACCAGTCCAGCGATCGGCACCGTGTGCGTGACAAAAAAAGTAGCTATGCTTGATTTAATTGCCAAATGTTAAATACACTACATCATACACTAGATACAAGAACTGAATTAATTGAAAATACTGCACTATATACATTGTTCATGACTAATAACTACAGAAAATAAGACAGAACACATACAATGCAATCCGATGAAAAGTGTGCGTGTAATTCGGCATTTGCCAGAACGCCAGTCTAAAGGCTGCATCAGTCCAGCGATCATCAAACACATTGTGTTGTTAAAACAACAGCGTAAGTGGTACGGACATCACCCCATGCAGAGTCTTAACTTTTTACAATAAGATATTTATTTACGCTAATTTCCCATAGTAAACATATTTAAAACAGTCACTAAACATTTCCACAACACTCAAAAACATTTATTTCAAAAATGTGCAAAAATAGGCTAATTAAAATCATAATGATGAGTGATTATACGGCTTTTTTGAAAATCCGGCGCCCTTCCCTCCAAAGTCGCCGGTTAATCGATGATCTAGTGTACATATGTAAAGTTTTTATGGGTGTAGTAGGATTTATTATTATTATCAAGAAACGGTTATATAGCAATGAAATACCAATGAGCTACCAAACCATGCACACTGCTAAAACAGTATGTAAGAGATACACACCCACCCTCCTTGAAGGACTAGGGGCTCTGTCACATCTCGTGGTGGAGAGATGTTAACTACCTCACCTGGTATACAAGGGGGCGTGGGTTCGATCCTGACCCTGATGCAGCTATATTTGGAATTTGCTGTGTCTCTCTTTGTGGTAGTGTGCATTTTTTTCCCTCCAGATTTCGAATCAAAGTGCGTTTAGAGTATTTGGCTGCTATACATTTCCACATGATAAGCCACTTCGTTGAGCTATCATTTGTGGCCAGGTTCACTTCTGAATAAGAGCTACAGTACATAGTTCAGTGCGTCTTACCTGGTAAAATATATACTCCTGATGATGCTGGTTATAATAACCAGTGAAACATCGTACTCGAATTGTAAATGTTGTAGGTTTAGTCTCGAACACAACGGTGTGGTGAACTGGTAACAAATGGGCATTTGTTGGTTAGGTGACAAACATTATTTAATTGGCTGTGTCGCGTGGTGTCAGATTTAACGAGGCATTTATACTCTTTGGCTCCTTCGGACGGACGCGTGTGTTGCGCCCGAAACGTCGTGATTCATTTTATACCTACGTGACTTTACCGAAAGAACCAAAGAGTATGGATTCTTGCAGTCACGAAAGCTTCAAATCAAGATTGAGGCATTTATATTTACGCGATCTAACCTAGAAAACCCTCTATTAGGGTAATATGGGTCTCGAAAGCCGATGTATTAAACAAATCTAAAAACAGATTTTTTTTATAGTTTAACAAATAGGATGCAGGAACATATTTTCTAATTTCGTTGATTTGCTCTTAATTTCGGGTAGTGCAGGTTCTTGCGACACAGGTTTGACCAGATCATCACGTGGCCTCACCCAAAAATCAATTATATTATCAGTAATAATTTTGGCTGCGAAAACTTCCGTGTTTATTTATTGCACGAGCAATTTTTGTTTATTTATTCTTCTTTAAAATATTTTTATTGTAATAAATGTCATGTGATTAGTGCAATATTTCGATTTAAAGCTTTTGTGACTGCAGGGATTCATCTTCTTGGTTATTTCGGTAAAGTCACGTAGAAGGGAAATAATAAAATAATAAAAATAAAACATAATAAAATAAAAATTCTCATGACGTTTCGACCACAACACAAGCAGCCGTCATCAGGTGAAGAAACAGAGCTGTCGGAAAGACAGCGTCCCAATGAACACCGCCAAGCTTGGCAGCGTATATTTAAGCTGGGTCGGGGGAGGAGAGCGCCTTGACAAAGGAGTTTACATATCAACAGCGGAATAAGCATATTGATGGCAAATGCAGATATGGGATTAATCACTCCTTGTGGAATGTGTAGGTGGTGGGGGTCTCAAAGTTATATATGTAGGATTAGCAGTAATAAAGGGAGGAAGTAGGATTAGCAGTAATAAAGGAAGGGAAATTTTAATTTTAAGGAGATGCAGCAGCCAAACCCCCGCGTATCAAGCTCGTGCATTATGTAGGCAACAAAAAAGGAGGAGTTTCTAAAGAACTGCAAATGCCCTACTACAATATAATACACCTATGTGAAAAAAAACTAAATATGAACTACATCAATATAATCAATGTGCTCAATATACTCTCCAAGTTTGTTATCGGTTCACTATATGGTAGTCATTATATAGTGTAGCGTATACCCAGTTACTTAATATCATTGGTTCTTTCGGTAAAGTCACGTAGAAGGGAAATAATAAAATAATATAAATTTAAAACAATACAAATTCTCACGACGTTTCGACTGCAACACAAGCAATCATCATCAGGTGTGAAATCCACAGCAATAAAAATTTGAAAAGGATCTCAAAGCTATGTGAAACCCTCCCCATAGAGGCTGTTAAATTTTGATTTAAAGCTTTCGTGACTGCAGGGATTCATATTCTTGGTTCTTTAGGTAAAGTCACGTAGAAGGGAAATAATTAAATAATATTTATATAAAACAATAAAAATTCTCACGACGTTTCGACTGCAACACAAGCATTCATCATCAACTTGTTGGAGAGTATATTATCCACATTAATTATATTGATGTAGTTTATATTTCGTTTTTTCACATCGGTTTATTATATGGTAGTTGGGTAGTTGCAGTTCTTTAGCGTCAATATGCTAAATTCCTCTGTTGATATGTAAACTCAGCTTATTGGATAGTATATTGAGTATATTGATGATATTGATGTAGTTTATATTTTAGTTTTTTATCGGTTCATTATATAGTGTAGCTTATACCCAGTTACTTAATGTTAATAGCTCAGCTTATTGGAGAGTATATTGAGCACATTGATTAAATTGATGTAGTTTATATTTAGTTTTTTTTTCACATAGGTGGTAGTAGGGCATTTGCAGTTCTTTAGAAACCCCTCCTTTTTTGTTGCCCACATAATGCACGAACTTGATACGCGGTGGTTTGGCTGCTGCAGCTCCTTACGATTAAAATTTCTCTCCTTTTATTACTGCTAATCCTACTTCCTCTTTTAATCACTGCTAATCCTACATAATACACTAGCATAATTGAGACCCCCCACCACCTACACATTCCACAAGGAGTGACTAATCCCATATCTGCATTTTTCATCAATATGCTTAATTCCACTGTTGATATGTAAACTCCTTTGTCAAGGCGCTCTCCGACCCAGCTTAAATATACACTGCCACGCTTGGCGGTGTTCATTGGGACTCTGTCCTTCCGACAGCTCTGTTTCTTCACCTGAGGATGGCTGCTTGTGTTGTGGCCGAAACGTCGTGATAATTTTTATTTTATTATGTTTTATTTATATTATTTTATTATTTCCCTTCTACGTGACTTTACTAAAAGAACCAAGAAGATAGTGCAATATTCCATGAGGGCTTGAGCCATCATCATCAATCAACTACAATGATCACCACCACTATCCTCATCAACCCTGTAATCATGATCATCATCTTGTACACGTTGATAAGACAACATCCAAGAATAATGCCTTATATTTTTGCCCTGACTTTTTATGAATACATTTCTGGATAAGAGCCCCTCATGCCATATTGGTCATTGGGATTATTTTAATTTACTTGAACACACTGGGTTAGTGGAGGTTTGGGGCGCCGCAATGGTGATAATGATCTCCCTCGCCTGGTATGCAGGAGATCATGGGATTCGACCCCAACACTGATGCCTGTATATTTGTAGATTGCATGTTCTCTCTCCCGTGGTCCCGTACATTTTTCTCCAGGTCCTCCAGTATTTCTCTCCACATTTAAAATCAACATGGGTTTAGATTATTTGGCTGCTATAAATATCCACACGATGATATGCCGACTTTGTTAAGCTATCATTTCTGATAGCCAGGTCGCGCCTGCAAAGTATCGACAAAGCTCAGTGGGCTTTACCTGATAAATGTAATGAATGGTGAAGGCAGGGAGCATGAACTTCAGGGCATAGTAAAATAAAATAGATTTTGCAGCACTGTCAACCTGTTGGTGCTTGGTGGTCTCCCATCCAAAGCACGATCCAGGCTCGTAATCTGCTCGGCTTCCGATATCTAATGAGATTGGGCGCAATCTTGGGTGGAGGATTTCTCTAAAAATCTGTCTGTCGCCTGATGTTGCGAGTTGTAATTACAGTACTCGAATTGCAAATGTTGTGGGTTTACTCTCCAACATACCGGTGTGCTGTATGCATACAAATTTGCATGTTTTGTTTACGTACCAAACTTGACTAATTATCTGTGTTGGGTGGTGGCGAGTTGAAGGACACATTTTATTCACGCGATCTCACCCCAAAAAACATTTATTATGAGCCTTGGGTGATTTGTTCATAAGTAAGGCTATGATTTTGTCATGGTGGTCATGGAAATCGTGAAATTGAATGGAGAAAGGTTATTAGAAAAGCCCAATATTTCAGCCATGTCCTTTATTTCCTATTCAAACATTCTGAATGTCACAGGTTAAAACATAAATTAAGTGTTTTTTTTAAGTGCAATGATGTGGGCCGGAAAAGAAGACGTCTGGTATGGGCATTGTACTGTCCCTATGCAAATTGTTAAATGATTCAGCTCGCGCCTGACTCACAGGTAACCAACCCCGGTCATATGGCCAGGCACTCTGCATTCAGAACTCCCCTCTCCTCTCTCGCTCTCCATTTGTTATCCTCTGCTCCACA